TCATTCCAAAATATTTATGAGCCCACCCTAAATACTATGTTCTTTAAAAGAAAAATTGTATGTTATACTGACGCTAGTTAATGTGCCGTTTAAACATAAAATAATTTGCACACAATTTGGAATATATATATATATATATATATATATATATATATATATATATATATATAATCTTGTTAATCATTTTTCTTTTAACATCGACCTGTTTAGTTCATATTTAATTTTATATTTGGTGAGTAGCTGCCAGGGAAATATGAAATGTTTCCTTTTAATTTTATGTGATTAAAATTCTCACATGTTTGCTTGAAGACATACACAGACCGACTGATATCTTTATATTTGTGTGTATACTTTTTTTCCTATGTTTTGTTCCCATGGTTCATAAAAGCAACTCAGAAGAAAATTGTTTCTATGCCTCAAAGACTTTCAATGCCACCGGTAAACATGCAACTTAAAAAAAATAACAAATGCATTGATAGCTGGTTTGAAGCGATGTTATACAATTCCGCATTGCCAATCGGACATTGAAATTATAGCAAACACATAGTTAAAGAATAGAAACTTATTAAAAATCAACCTACTTGTTCATACTTGGTTCCTGGTTCGCATTTCATGATGGTTCTATTTTTTATATAATTTTTATAAAGACTATTTTGGATATTTAAAAAAAATCGTGACGATTAATTTAAGACATTTAATATGCTGAATAATCCTATTTTAAAATAGACTTTATTCTTTACTTTGCGATTAATATAATTTATCAAAGTACTATATCTTGATAGGTTGTAAGATCACATAATATATGTAACTGAACAATTGCAATTTAAGCAATGTAAATATTTACTTATTTTCTAGCAAGCATATGAGTGGCATGGCAATCAATTTGAGAAGTTAAAACAACGTCGTCATTTAAGAGCTAGTTTCAGCTTGATCGCGCCAGGTTTTTTACAGTTACAGTGTAAACATGGCCTCTGGCTTACCTTCAAAATTCTATCACGTGGCCATAATAGTGTCAATTATAAACGCACGTGACCAGAAGGCAGTATTACAAACCAAAAGATTTTTTAGGAGAAAGTGCGAATAATTTTTTATTTACACGAGCGTGTAAGTGTATATATAGTCCGTGTGAGTATGTTGCGTGTTTCTCTGTGTGCTTGTATGTGTGTCTGTGTGTGTGAAGCTGACACACATAACAAGGACAATGAATCAAAGAAGAAATTAATAATTAATTGTTTCCTGTGCTTCTCCTGGATATTAATTTTCTATATAATTTTTATCTTGTTTTCCTTTACGTCATTTAAATATATTTAACACTTACTGCTTCTTATGTGAAAATTATTATCACGATAATTATTATTACCCGTTTAAGATTACTATGTTAATGATATCATACCGCAATTACATCATTAAAACAGCTTGATATATATATATATATATATATATATATATATATATATATATATATATATATATATATATATATATATATGGGGGATTTTAGAGTAACAAAATTAATATAATATAAAATTATATTTAATAACTTAATGTAAAATGCATTTATTCATTATGGTTAATAAACCTATATGCTTCTAAAGATTGGAATAAGAATAAATCAAATCTTTTCTATATCCTACATGAATCTCGTCATTAATTGTCAGTCCATCAATGAAACCCAACAAATCAGCCATGACCCATGGCGATCTCCTCTGGTTAACACTCTGCTTTATATCAACTATCTAAGAACATTCTCTGAACATTGTAATATATGCAGATAATTTATTAATTCACCTCATGAAATCTAAATGACCAGACCGTTGGGAGTGATCTTTCACCCGAAAGAGTTTTCACAGTTACTTTCTGAAAAACTCAAGTATCTGACGTTCCTTTATCATCAAGCTGAAGCTGAATTTTCTCATGTCAAGATTACTAGCGACACTTTCAATGATGATCCTTGCCCTGAACATTTATCGTGCCTCAAGCACATCCCAGGCTTCAACTGGAACTCACATATACGATCCATTGCTAAAGATGCTGAAAAAACAATCGATTCCTTTGAACACTTTACAAAGTACCTGACTCTTCCTATCATACTCTGTCTTTACACGAGTCATATCAGAAAATAAAAGATCTCATTACAGCCGTGACACAGTTCAAAAGCCTTTACGCGACCCTTCGGGCGATGAATTATTTGCAACCCTAGAGTCATTTGTTTCTGCTGACTTAACGTCGCAAGCTTATCGCTACTCTATTGCTATTTCCGTGGCAACCTTCAAGCGATCTAAATTCCTTAGTTGCACCAGCCAAGGCCTTCACATCCCGCACCAGCTATGCCACGTAAACTCATCCTCATTCCAATGGTATTCCATTACTAAGAAGGAAGTTCCACTGAAACCGCTTACCCAGAGGACCGTTACTTTGTTGAACAGATTCCCGATAGGATTCTCACCGGTCACAATAATCTTTACCTTTTCAAATCTAAGCTCAGCTGTTATCTGTCCTACATATCCCCATTATCTTCACTTACTTCCTACTCTTACAACCAGACAACAATCTCATTCTGTAACACTTTACCTTGGGTGATCCATTGGCTTTGTATTGGGTGAGCATTTAGTAAATAAAATCATGATATTTACAGATTTGTGCATTCGTAAATAGTAACCATTGTCATATTTTTCATTATTTGCTAAAGCGAACATAAATATATAACTGAACGAAGATTGTAGTTTATTTTTCTAATGATTCTGAGTCATACATTCCGAAAACATTCATAAAGATAACAGAAAGAAGAATTGTGATGTAGCACATTATTCATAAAAAAAAAATGTTAGAGCATATATTCATTCAAAATGTACAGTGGTTCTGGAATTGAATAAATCGCTTCGTGTTAGTAGAACTATGTTTTGAATTTTGACTTCCTTTAGTGGAAGTTAATCGTGACTAGGACTTGAGATATATTAGTAAAAAATAAAAAGAGTATCTCTGATATCTCAGAATATTCGAAGTAATTCTGATAAATGGAGAGACCAATGAAAAAAATGCTTTCTCATGGGACTTGCATAATATTTCATTTTTGATGAAGAAATATGCTCAATAAAATTATTCATTTCCATTTAAGTAGATGTCTTAAGTGTAATATATAAATACATCTTAATTCACCTTTTCTTGCATATTATCTCGTATTCTTACATATAGACAGATTTGTGACTCCCTGAATAAAAGACCACGGCTATGAAAAAAATATCACCATTTTTAATAAAGTTATGTACGTTGGTATATCATATGTTTGCCATTTATTAATGAAACAAAGTATTTATATTTTACAACGAATATTTATTATTCAACATAAATAATTAGAGAATCCTATTTATATTTATTGAATAATATACAGTGAATATTTCAGATCAAAATTTGTTATTAACTAAATATCAGGCAAATGTTTTTTTCAGTCATCTCACCGTTATTATCAACGGAAGTAAAATGTTTTGATTCACATCACTCATGAACAAGATGACGGTAAGAAGTGACTTCAAAATTTGCTAGAGGAATTTCATAAACCGCTTTCATCTTTATAACTCATTATTGGATTTCACTTCAATTTTGTTGGCTACTTTTCGTTTAGCAAGAAGAAAAACGACAAAATTTGCTTTAGAAATCCAACTGAATGATAGCTTAAAGCTATCAATCTATAAGGCTTGTAACATAAATCATTTAGTTTTACCTCTTGCTAAACAAAATATATATATTTATATACTTTATATAATTTATATTTAGGATTATCTACAAATCATTAATAGTTGAATAGATGACTGATATTTTCTCATCAAGAAATGGCTAATATTACCATTACTATAATAATCAACATTGAAGATATATATAATATTAGGGCGTTCATGTTGGTGAGTTGAATCGTTTTCTACGGCTTATCGACTTTTTAGGTTATTTAAAGCCAGAACATATTTTAAAATTGTATTAATCTACAGACTGTCCCCTATTTCACCCGTGCTTAAATACTTGCATTCGTATCAATCCGACACGTATGACTCCAGAGCTTCCCATCAGATTTTAGGTACCTCAGTTTGTATTATGTTGGAGCGTTGATATGTGAAGAGGAGAAAAAAGGAAAAAAAATTAATAATGTACATGGAAAGATTGATTGGTTTGTTTTCTATGGCTTATTAATACTTTGCAGATTATTTACAACCAGAAAATATTTGAGATTGTTTGAGTGGGAAAATAATAATTATTAATAATAAAATTATAATTAATAAATCCTTAGTTGAAGGAGAAGAGATGGATTCATAAATTTTTCAACGAAGAAAATGAGAATTGCAACTCGGATTGAAAATACTGTGACGTTTTCCATACACGACTCGCACATCCAAGCTTACGGCACCCGGTATTCACAAGCGGTTACCCATCTAGGTACTGACTAGGCTAGATGTTGCTTAACTTCGGTGATCGTGCTTCAAACAGTGTGTAAGCCCATTATGCCTGCTGCATATTGAAGCTTACGGCACCTGGTATTCACAAGCGGTTACCCATCTAGGTACCGGGATTAGGCTAGATGTTGCTTAACTTCGGTGATCGTGCTTCAAACAGTGTGAAAGCCCATTATGCCTGCTGTATATTGAAGCTTACGGCACCTGGTATTCAAGCGGCACCCATCTAGGTACTGACTAGGCTAGATGTTGCTTAACTTCGGTGATCGTGCTTCAAACAGTGTGTAAGCCCATTATGCCTGCTGCATATTGAAGCTTACGGCACCTGGTATTCACAAGCGGTTACCCATCTAGGTACTGACTAGGCTAGATGTTGCTTAACTTCGGTGATCGTGTTTCAAACAGTGTAAGCCCATTATGCCTGCTGCATATTGAAGCTTACGGCACCTGGTATTCACAAGCGGTTACCCATCTAGGTACTGACTAGGCTAGATGTTGCTTAACTTCGGTGATCGTGCTTCAAACAGTGTGTAAGCCCATTATGCCTGCTGCATATTGAAGCTTACGGCACCTGGTATTCACAAGCGGTTACCCATCTAGGTAATGCAAAGTCTCGACGTTGCTTAACTTCGGTGATTGTACGGGAACAGGTGTTTCAGCATGATGTCGCTGTAAGCATATTGTACTATCATAAAATATTACACACACTTCCAAATAATGTCTTTTAAGTCTTTTTGATGTCGGAAAATCAGTTTTCGTGTAGTTCTTCGCCCGATGTACGCGTTCCTCTTTGTGATCTTTACTTAGATTTGATAGGTTGATAGCCATGGTGCTTTCATGCCTTTAGACAACTTCATAATATGCTTCTTTTATTCACATGTCGGCATTCGCAACACCAGCTCCTTCCAATATTTTGATGTTGTTCAATTCATTTTTGTTTGTTATACTTTTAATTTTTCACAATTCCATTATATTACATGAAAATCAGTTTTGTCTCATTATGTTGCTAAGTTTTTCAGTTCTGTTTTCAAGTGATTTATTATACTGTTCAAATCTAACTTCTAATATATTTTTCTGTCATCCACTATATTGTGCGATATTTTCTTTTTGTTTTAAGGTTATATTTTTTCACGGTCATTGGCGTTTATATAAACTTATATAAATATTTTTATATTTGAAGTTAAGCATCATTATTTACAGCTATACTATCATATTGTGACGAACGACACTCGTGTCAGATAAATATAATCTCATACACACCAATAAAATATTGTAAATATTTGTAAGAAAAACAGATATTATAATATAGTATAAAATAGCATGAAAATTTTACCTTCACTGTCAAATATTTTCCAACACGTTGATAAAGAAATACAGATGTAATTTTTTGTCTGAATTTCTAGGATGAGGAGCTATTATTATTTGTACTGTTTATATACGTACTGTTATTCTCATCTTTGTTATTGTTATCACAATGTTTCGATAGTTATGCTCTCAGGCTTTCATCCGATGTATGTAGATCCGAGTAACTACAAGGGTAGATTGTTCTGAATCCATGTCTAGGAATATCTCGTCTAGTTCAGTCCAAGGATTGAACTCACAATTACTATGTTACCAAATTCCCGAAAAATTCTGTAAGTCACAAGGCTATTGCATTTGGGGACAATCCTCTATGGAATATTTTCCATACAACACCAAGACAATATTTAGAAGCACTCCACAAAGAAACACGTGCCGAGTAAAGATTAACATGGAGGATAACTCAGTTTCTTGCGGTTATGACAAAAAATATATAAGTAAAACAAACGGCCTCATAAAAGTAAGGCTGGAGGAACACCGAAAAGACGTAGTGTGGGGCTAAACAATGAAATCAGCCATGGAATGATAAGAAAATATCGGACAAGGATGAAAACTTGAAAGTTAGAAATCTGAAAGAATCAGCTCATATGATAGGCTCTGAGGATCTCTTTATAAGGCTTAGGATAGGCATAAAGAATATATGGGAGCCGCCAACAAAGAAAGAAAGACAAATGACAGTAAGTCTTCAGTAGAAACAGAAATATGCTGTTGAAATTTATAAGGCACATATTGAGGCAGGAGGACTTGAATAATTTAGCACTCACATGGTATATGAAAGTAAAAACTGAACACAAAAAACGACACCAACCTGAAGGCTAGTGTGAATGGATGATCGAACGGGGATCGAGAAACTTGGAAACTCAAGGGATAGGAAGTTGTGAAGAGAGAGGTCGCCGATATTCTGGAGGGACACTTCGCATAAAATAATACAATATTCGAACACAATTAATTTAAAATTAAACTAATCTTAATAAAATAGCTTAAAATAAATTTAAATGTAATTTTTTTTATCATTCCAAATTTCTGCATTAGAAGCTATTGAAAATAATATAGAATTCTCTATAGCCTATGATTCTCATAGTAAGTGATAACAGTTATAAAAACTAGGTACATACGAAGCAAACTATATACCTATATATCTCGCACACAAATACTTTATACAAAGATTGTAATGTTTTTATTTGAACGCCTCCAAAAAAGCAAACAAAAAAAAATGCTTTAATTTAACCACGATAGGGAACATTTTCCGCCTGTTATTAGCATGGCCGTTGCTAGACTCTGGGAGAGCAACATGTAATCGATCCTTACCAGGCATCTCGACTTCAGTCACATTCTTCCCGACGTGAAGTGACTTCCCCTGCCCGTTCCTCCAAATATTTTCATAGCATCTCTACATACGAGCTTTTAATCTAATGCCCCGACTACATGAATTTAAGCGTGCTACTAGCTTGGCATCTAGGTATCACCCTTTTGCTGATGAAATAGATAAATACAACTGCCACTTTTACTCCAACAGTTTCTTGTCTCGCTCTTACCACCTCTGCAACTCTCTTCTGTTTACTTGCTGCCCTTATAACTACAATCTGCCAAAATTTAATCGCAACGTCAATTTCCTTCTTCTGTCTTCTTGAATCTTGTTCATCTTTTGTCTTTTTAATTCTCCATATACTCAGTCTTTTCATGAACATCATTTTAATTTTCACAATATTTTTTTACATTAAAATGTTTCTTCCTCTGTTCTTATGGTGTTAAAAATTCCGAGCCATTCTCCATTACACCACCCACAAAACCAATATTACAGCACCTTGTATTACCAAACGGTCAGCCATCTAGGTGCTGACCAGGCACAACGTTGCTTAGCTTCGGTGACTCTACGGAACCCAGTGTTTCAAGGTGATGTGGTTGGAAGCCCCGCATTGTACGTTTATATTTTCATTTATTACCGTCTTCAAAAGTAATTTTAATGTAAGTAGTACGAACTGAATCCTGCAAAGTTCATAAGGAAAAGCTGTTTGGGAAGGAAAAGTACTAGGTGTAAGTTATTACGAATTTTCATGAATATTCGCTGGGAGTAAGGGTATACAGTCATAAATATGGAATTCAATATAATTAATTGCTTAAATGATAAATAGACACATGTTTGATAAAGTTAATTATCTTTTTCTGTTACAAAATACATTTGCCTCAGAGAGGTTTCAAGACTTGACTGCTATGCCTCCAATGTATGAAATTGAAATACCTCACTAATAAAGAAGTATCTCTTTCCTGTATGGTGATTCGAGAGCAATCTTCATCGGAGATACTTTCTCAGTGGGGTTGGTTGTTTCGCTAGAAATTGTTCGTTAGGAAGATGTGGAAGATTTTACTGAGTTCGCATTTTTACACTGCATGAGACTCATACATCGTTCAAACGCTTCAGGAAAAAGCTTTCTGCATTTAGAGCCAATAATGTGCGTCCACGTCATTATAAGAATAATACGACGTGTTTCTATGTTTATTATGCATAATAGGGGATTTAACAGAGGCAGCAGAATGAAATCAACTACATTTTGTTTTTCTTTCCATCAGCTGGTCAAGAGTAATATGAAGATGCAGTGGCTGTTTTTGGCGTGTGAACTTCGCAAGATATTGTCTTGTGAGAAAGACTGAGAGCATGGTAACATAACGTGACAGGTAGGCTATTTCAAACTTCTCAGAAAGACTCATCAGTCAAATATGATTTAATATAGAATAATGTTTATTTTAGTTAAGCTCTTATAAATAAACTAAGAGATATATGCTCACCGGTCCCTTTTTCAAAACTTACGTTTATCACTTGCCCAGCGTCTCACCATTATAAAATTGACGGCAATGTTCCCCACGGAAGTTTTTACTTTTTTTTTGTTTTTGTTTTTTACATATTGCCACATAAATTGTCGACAGGTTGAATTGCATTTTTACACATTAAATTGGCATGGCGGTGTATATCAAATATTTTTTTTATAAATATATATCTTCTCTGATTTAAATCATTCCATGGTTTTTAAAAAAAATGTTATTTAGGAATCAGCAACTTTTATTCCTTTACATACGTAATATTGGAAATGTGTTCTCAGTTAGAATTTCCGTCGAGTCAATGTAACATTTTGGTGAATGTTGTTTGAAAGATACAGAATAAATACAAAAAAAATACGGTGAAAGTAATCATAAAGGAAGATTGCCAGTTAAGAATAGTAAAAAAACAAAGACATCCTCCCAATGAAGCTTTTCGGTCACCTGGCATATTTTGTATATACAACAAATTATTATTAAAATTTATATCAAGTAGAATATGGCGTAACATACGAATGCGTGGCGAAATATGTTTCAGCCCAGACAAGAAGATATTAAAAAAAAATCTTTGGCTATTTAGTTAGACTATGTGAAATTTACTAAGTCTAACACAATGAATATATTGTACTGAATTTCTAAATAAAACCACTACTACTAATTTGTTTCTCAGATTTGAACCGAAATTATATCCGTTTATTTAAGTGAATCTAAGTTAATTACAAGGTAATTATGAATTATTTTATAACGCTTTTCAGAAGGAAAGTTTTAAATAAATGTTTGGAGTTAAGAACGTAGTGCTTACTTGTACTGTGGTTATGGGGATTTTCTAAGGCCGAAAGTATGGGGCATGCGATGAGGATCGAACTCAATACACGATCGTAATTATGGTAGCGAGACAAGCTTGCTAACCATTATATCTCGTTTAGGGGCCCATATGGTAATTTTCTAAGCGTAGCTTATATATGGCACAAGGCCGAAAGTTTAAGGCACCCAGTGAGGATCGAACACACTACTCTGTTGTAATTGTTCTTGCGAGACAAGCTTGTTAATCATTACATCACGTCAAAGTACCCCTCGTATTGTGACTATGTATAGAATCTTATTATGATTTAGGCTAGTGAAAAAATACGCAAACTAAGCAACATTTATCAATAATATCAACTCGAAAATCTCTTATACACATATGAACTATACAAAGAGAAATGCATACTTGTGTTTAACTGTTATTTACAGCACGTTTATGCAAAACTCAATGAAAACTAAAGCTAAATAAAATTTGATTTTATTCGCAGTTTATGTATTCATATAGTTCTAAAATATATCTGGATATATACGATGTATAGAAACACAAATAATTATCAATATAATTGAAATGATAAAAAAAAAAATACGAGTGAATACATTCCGTGTGCTGTTTTGAACACGACTCACGTGTCACCTTGGAACATTGACAGGAAAGTTACTTTTGGAGCATCAAGGAGCTTAACGAATCAAGCAACCATATTATTTTCCAGCGATAGCACAAAAGAATGACGATTGACAGTTAGAGATTCTCAAAATCCGATTCTACTAGCCGCCAAATAAAATCCTGTCGACATTTTGATTAAAACTTCCCAACTTAAAGTACTAGAAAACAGATGGGAATGTAAATGTAATGATGGAGACAATGGAAAAGACGAGTAGAAAAGACGAAATGAAATTAGAAAAAATCGAATGAAATGGGCGAGAAGAGGAAAACTGGAAAACTAGGCTGTATAGAAGAAATTGAAAAAAAAAAAAAAGGATTAACTGAAAATGAAGGAAGAAAAGAAATAAATTAAAAGAAGCAAAGGATTTAAAAGAATGAATGTGGATTATAGCAAGAATGAACTAGAAAAGACTACATAAATATGAAGATAGATATAAATAATGATGAAAAATTAAAAATAAAGTCAGAAGGAAAAAAAGAGAGTAAGGAAATCTGAAGGGAAATTAAAAAAAAAAGAGGAAGAAATGAAACGATTAAAAGAGCAGCAAAAAGAGAGAAAAGAGAAGTGGGGAGAGAGAGAGAGAGAGAGAGAGAGGTAGTCAGAGAGACAAGTCGAACTAAATATATTTTATAGAGAAATGATTTATAACAGAACCTGTTAGCTTAGCACTGTAATATAATCAGTCTTGCTAAGAGATTTTCAATACATTCAAATAAAGACTTGAAACAGAAAAAATTATAATTTAAAATTTAGAACGTTACAGAAATAAAAAAAAACTAAAAAAACATCAAACAAGATCATGATCATGGTCAACAATCACTGCATATTCTCGTAGTGTCGCTGTGTATCTGTGCATCTTACCTGTACAGAGAGAGAGAGAGAGAGAGAGAGAGAGAGAGAGAGAGAGATGTATATCTTTAGGATTAGGTCTGGCGGAGCCTATCCCTCTCCAATTAAACTATAGCCAATATCCTGGGCACGGACGTGTTGACATTAGTTCCATCAGTATGCACTCCGTCTTCGTGATTAACTTTAGTCTGTGTCGATCTCTGTCCAGGTATGCCGTGTCGTTACCGCAATGAACGCTGACATAGCTTAGTAGGTTAAGCACGATAAAAATCAGCTTGTTACATACCTCAACGTAATATATAAGACACATAGAGGAGGGAAACGATTTGTAGGGAAACAGTCGGGGATTTCTAATACAGCATATTAGCATGTAATATAATGTGGATAGCTGAAAAAGAAAAAAATCTCTTGACATATATCCTAAATGATAAATAACATTTACAAGGTTTCAGACATAATAAAAGGAAACATACAAAAGTGCTGATATAGCGAAATACTTCAATAGATACATTTTTATAGCACTGATACAAGCGAATGTAAATTCCGTACAATAAGCCGAATGAGCCATGTGACAAAATTAATTATCATGAATATTATACGCAGCTGAATTAGACAGGAAACAGGTTAATAAAAGCAGGGGTTCGTTAAAGACAGTAGAAGAAGGAATGTGATATTTATACCCCGAATGATAACAGAAAGATTAATACAAATGCAAAATGATATATAACTATGTTTTATATATTATGCAAACGTGTTAGAAAAAAAAAATCATAAGGAACTTTTGTAACTGATAGGTAGCCTAGACGAATTTGGGAAGGAAATTAGAATACCCCAGAACTTATACTGGAATGCAAGCTACTTGCATAGGGATAGAAAATGAATTCAGTGAATATGCAAAAATAGAAAGGTGTGTAAAACAAGGATTTTTCTTCTCGTGCACTGGTTGAGTAACGCTTGCATTGAGTGAGACACAGAGGATGTATATCTGAGAATTTGAGTAAATGGATAGCGGAGCAATGTTTAGAAGAAACAGAAAAAAGGCAAAAATTATTAAGAGGTACAAAGAAGAGGAAATTGTGGAGAGTCATGATCACCAACGTCCAAAAGGGACACGGCACATAGAAGAAGAAGAAGAAGAAGAAGAAGAAGAAGAAGAAGAAGAAGATTGAGCAATTATTATTATCCGTCTTATTTATATTTTCTATTGATTTTGGCTTTTATTTAATTGGTCTGCATTTGTTTACAGTAAATAAGTTAATAATTTGCTGTGTAGGGATAGAAAATGAATTCACTAAATATACAAAAATAAAAAGGTGTGTAAGACAAGGACTTTTCTTCGCACTGGGCTTATTGTGAGAGAATTAAAAGTCCTGCCAAGATTCATTATTGGTGGCCACGATCGTAACAACAGAAGATATTCAGATGAGACAGTGTTGATAGCAGACACCGAAAGCAAACTACAGGAGATCCTACAAAACGCAGTGAAGGAAAGCGAGAAGAAAAGACTAAACATAAATTTCAAGAAGACACAATGTTACCAAAGGGAAAATGCAAACTGCAGATACCAAAATCAAACAACTACAATAATCTAAATATCTGGTAATTATTTTAAAAGTCGACCTTTTTAATTAAAGTGTGCTAATTTTAGTTTTATGTCTTCTCGACTCTCCTGTCATTTAACCAATAACGCTAGGAAAAATGTAGTCATGAATTTTACAGTTTCTATTTATGCGAAATGAATGAAACAGATTCAATCAAAATTTGAACTCGGCACGTCGATTAAACTTTACTCACGTTAATCTGAGTTTTATTCAAACAATAAACATTAAGTCTGAGGTTATTAAAATTCTAATGAAATCTACTTCTGTACTGATATATACAAACGGAAACTATCTGTATGAAATGTCTTGACTTTTAAAATCTCAAATAAATATTCATATAGAGATTTTGAAGTTTTGCAATGGGTCGTAAACCCATCGCAAAATTTCAAAGCCGCAACATGAATATTTATTTGAGATTTCTAATGTCAGGACATTTCACACAGATGGCTGTTTATGCAAGTAAAGAAATACATTTAATAACTTTAAAGTTTCCAAAAGGTAATACGGGAAATCTCAAAAATGCAAAGCTATTTTAAAATATCTTTGGTGACTCTGATGCAAGTGCCATAAAGAAAATGTTAAGAGTTTATTTCGCCAATCTGTGTCGCATATCAATGAAGAAATACTAAAAGGGACTTTGGATTACGATATTTTTACGTCTTATGGAAGCGAGGAAATATCGAAAATCAGAATATATCGGGTCATAAATCAGGAGAAGAAATACGTTATGCCAATCACTACATCTCTTCCTTGTATTATAGGGATAGGGACATATTTATATGGCAACTGGGAAAAAACAACCTTACAGATGTAGCGATCATTTGAGTGGAATTAATATATTGAAGATCCGGGCCAAGATCAATGATTTTAACTCGTGGGGATGGACACTTGAAGAATAGCTAAAACTCTAGGTTATACTTTGAATTATAATAATTAAATATTAATTATGTTTATATTTAAGCATAAATATATTTAAATATAAACATAATTCATAAATTAATTCTGTTAATTTAGGGCGCATCTAGCTACCTTTCAGGGTGTTTCAATGTGCCTGGGTCCACTGATTGAGTATCGCTGGCCTAGAGTGAGACACAGACGATGTTACTAAGCATGTATATCCGAGAACTTGAGTAAATGGACAGCGGAGCAATATTTAGGAGAAACAGCAAAAAGACAAAATTTATTAAGAAGTACAAAGAAGTGGAAGTTGTGGAGAGCCTTGATCACCAACGTCCAGAAGGAAACGGCACATAGAAGAAGAAGAAGAAGAAGAAGAAGAAGAAGAAGAAGGTTATTGAGCAATTGTTATTATCTGTCGTATTTATATTTTCTATTGTTTTTCGTCTTTTATTTAATTGGTTTGCATTTGGTTACACTGAATAATATCTTTGTTGTGTATCGTACAATTACTGTCTGTGAAAATAATTTTATTTCCTCATCGACACGACAACTTCGGACTATCTCTAAACTTTCTACGTTCTTTCTCTTGAAAACACCTAAAGTTGTTCCCAATTAATTTTAACATAACACAATTTCCACAAATAGATTTGAGGGAATATACTCTCACTAGTTTACGTTTACTGCTGTATATCCTTAGATTCTTAACAAAATTCAAAGAAGAGTCGGTAACATAAGCGCGATCCTGACCAGGCATTACCACTTCAGTCATTTTCTCACCGATCGGACGTGGTTTCCCTCTGTCTTTTCTACAAATATTTTCATAGCTTTTTGTTATGAGCGTTTATTCTTAGTGCCTTGACGACACTAATTTAAGCCAGTTATTAGAGTGACAACAATATCTCACCGTCTTAGTTAACTGGTTTGATGCAACCGTCTTTTCTATTCTAGCTGGGTTTTTTTTCTTGTAGTTCTCGTTTGTAGAACTCCCGATTTCTTGCTTCTCTGCCACCTAATGTCTTCGTGTATTGAAACTCTGTGTCAATCGCCATCTTCTGTCTTCCTGAATCCTATTCCTTTAGAGTCCTTTCTTCACTTCCTAAGGTATTCTCATTCTTTTTCACTCCCTGTAAGCCCCCGTACCCTAGTGGCATTATCACATTGCCTGGGTGAAATAATAAAACAGTACCGCTTCAATTATTCTTGACATGTATTCGGCGATATTCCGAAATCTCTCCTTCGAAATCTGGGTCCATAATCTTAGGATATTCCACAAATTTTCTTTATTGCTTTGAATTTCCTTTTTTACCACATCACAAAGGTGCTTTGTCAGAACGAGGTCTGATGAATGAAGAGACAACTTTAACGAAAAAAAACCTCATTGCCATATCACATGAGCCAATTTGCTACTCTTTTTGAATTGTGACATGGTGCATTGTGTTGCTGGCAGGAAAACCATACAATGGATCGTTACACCATAGGCTTAAAGTGAATCACGTAGTCCGCAACAATACATACATAAGCTGCGGCATTTAAATGATAATTTATTGGTACCAAGTGTTGCAAGGGAACATTCTTCATATCATTACGCCACCAAGGGAATATTCTTCATATCATTACGCCACCGCTACTAGTCTGAACCGTTGGTGCAAAGCAGTTCTACTGGACCTAACATCCTAATAACGCAGCAGAAACTGAGACTCATCAAACTGGGGAAGGTTTTTCAAATATTCTATGGTCCACTTTTTGTGATCATTTGCGTATTTAATCTCAGTGTCTTGCTCTTATTTACATGAAGATTCGATAAAGGTTCGACGCATTATGCCTTCAGTCATGCTCTTATTTTTGCCTCTATTATAAGAAGTGGTTGTCTGAGCTACTTTTGTATTCCTATCAACTTGAAACATTATAACTTTTCTCCTCCAAACTCTTTCATCCATAAGCGACTTCTGATCACAGAATTACCGCTCACTGGATGTCTTTTTCTGTCCATTCTCTGTAAACCGTAGAGATAGTTTTGCAGGTAAAACGTAGGAGATCAACACTCGTCTGGCCATTTCTTGTTCAAAGTCACTTAAATCGCTTTTATTTCTTATACTTGAAATTCAATTCAGCAAGTCGCCACAGCCATGATATAGGCATATCTATGAAATTGTCTTCACCTTATTGGATGATCAAATATTTGTATAAAAAATCATTTATTCACGGGTACTTGATGAAAGGACAAGTGAGTGCATACGTCTCCGTGTATAATTCTGTGTTCTGTATGCTTTTACACATATTTTATTAAATCATGCTTCCGAGAGTGCTTTCTATGCTTGGTATTTTTTAAAATTATTCAATAGTTTCAAGGATATTATTTTATGAAATACAATTTAGTATTTCTTTTCCTTCATATGTTGACTAGTTCTTGTTCTTTATTTCGGCTCGTGTTCAATGTTTTAAAATTTGTTTTATTTTTTATTAATATCTGAATAGTAAACTGTTTTTGACGCCATAGAATTGCGCACAATATGTTGGTTGACTTGGGTATGGTTTTTGAAACAAATACTTTTATAAATAAGAATGAATTGCCCGTTGGAAAAAAAAAACATGAAGAG